CTGCAGGCACCCTCTGCATCGGACACTATGTCCATTTTGTGGCCACGGGCGCTATACTGAATGCATGGTCTTCTGTGGTGAGCGTTCTTCCTTTATTTTGGCCCTCAATCAACATGCCATTTGTCGAGAGTGTATGGTGGGCATGCCCAATGCCAGCCATCGTGGCAATTGTTGTGCTTATAATGCTCAGCGAGGTCCTCCATGTGCTCACCCACCTCATCCTTACAATGTGTGTCCTCTCTGTCGTCAAGGACGGACCCGCTCTCGAGTTTTTCTTATCCTCTCCTTTGCCTTCATCTTCATTCCACACTACGTACTTTCCCTTTTGGTTCTTTGTCTGTCTACTCTTCATCTCTCTTCCCTGTGCGTATCACCTTCCCCTTTACTCTGCCTCTTTATCACAGTGTACAAGTGGGTTGTTATGGCGCACGGAGATGCAGGCAGCTCGTGCTCAACTTCATCAACGTGGCGAGCCTTGTACGGGAGAGGCATACGGAAGGGGGAGTTGAAAGAAAAATGATTTTTGTTTTTTTTAATCCTTGCCTTTTGTTTTGCAAAGTGCGGTCTTTTAGTTCATAGTTTTGTAACAATATGGGACAGGTTCAGGTTTCGGCTGGTGAAGTCAGAGCACCAAAGTTGTCCGGGGTAGAAGCTTACTATGGGCCTGGCTCCAGTAGATGTATCTGGAGAGAAACCAGGTCAGATACCTTCGGACTAATGACCCACGGTCTGTCGAAAAATAGAAATTGAAAGAGTTCTGGCTTCACGAGCTGAAAACTGAACCCATAACTTTCTTCTAGAGTGCCCCTCATGTTTGTTTTGTGTTTTTAATCCTTGCCTTTTGTTTCGCAAAGTGCGCTCATTTAGTTCATAGCTATGTGACAATATATAGGTTTATTCCAGAGCACCACAGTCTAGAAAGAATTTATGGGTCGGGTTCAGGTTTCGGCTCGTGAAGTCAGAGCACCAAAGTTGTCAGTGGGCCTGGCTCCAGTAGATGTCTCTCGGCAGAAACCAGGTGAGATACTTTTGGACTAATGACCCACGGTCTGTTGAAAAATAGAAATTGAAAGAGTAATTGAAAGAGTTCTGGCTTCACGAGCTGAAAACTGATCCCATAACTTTCTTCTAGAGTGCAGTGCTCTAGGAAAAGTTCATAAATTTTGGCAAAGCATTGCCAGAGACATACCTTACTCGGCCTTAGTTGAGTATACTCGCACAATCATCAGAAGGTACGAATTCACAAGAGCGAAATCCATACCGACAAGCAGCCTAAAACAAAGTCTCATGCAGAATTCGGCACAAAGGCCTAGAGAGCATAACAGATTGAACCTCCGACACGAGAGACATCCATTGAGCAAAAAGAGAAAGCAAGAAGAAAGCAACCAAAGAAAGAAGAGAAAGGAGAGCAAAAAACATATCGATATCTCCCGAACGACAAGGGCTCGTATTAAAAACATATCCAAACCAGCCCAAATAGTTGAACCCGAATGTGGACGTCGTGTCCGTCTCGTGTGAACCAAGGTCAACGTCTCCTGCAAGACTCTACGCGTTTCATCCGGATCCGGATCCGGAATCGTCAGGGGTCAGTCACGAAATCGAGTGCTTGTGATATGTTGGTCGCTCTATTTAACGGAAAAACAGACACTCGAGAATTCAAGAGACATCCTGGCTCACCTGACGAGAAGTCCCAAAAAAACGAATCCACAGGTCCTTGGATCAAAACCCCAGAAAAGCCAAATATCACCAGACTGAGCCAAGAACCAACTAATCGAAAGCCCAGAAATACTAGGCCGCATCGCGGCCAACTCAGCGGCTCAATCCCCTGCGACACGCTAGGCCTCAAACACACTGCAAATAATGTTCCGGGGACTCAAACCCCTACCATTTCACCCAAGGACCTCACAAAGTGCCCTCTTCCCATAAGGGCCACACCAGCCCAAGGTTTGGCGTTCGGAACCAATTCATGCCCCAGCCAGCCAAACAAAACACCCAGTCCTCCCATGACCTCAACACACTGCAAATCATATTACGGGGACTCAAACCCCTACGATCTTCACCCAAGACTCTCACTAAGTGCCCCCTTCCCTTACGGGCCACAACCGCCCAAGCTTCGCATTCGGGACCAATTCATATCCCAACCTGTCAAACAGAACACCCAATCCACCCATAATCCTCCAAATTTCAGAGAAAAATTACACAAAGATTTGTCGAAGATCTCGTCAGGAAATCCCGAAGCCCGAGCTCCACCTTCAATGTAAACAAGAAGACCACCTCAGCACCGGGCGTACTAGTATAGCGCTTGGCTCGGTGGAGAAAGGAGCCAACCACCGCCATTTTCTGCTTCTTGCTTACGTAAGAACAGTTATCTTTCAAACTCTGAAAACGTAACCCCAAATCTAAAACAGTTCTTTGATTCTTGTGCACTGCAGCGCATCTAACCCCAGCTGGCCATCCAAAATTACGCAGAGCACATCCAAGGAAATCCCAGGATTCTGCCTTGCTTGTACGCTCCAGAGTTAGTTCGGGATCATAGCAGACAGTAAAGCTCTTCAGAATACCATCCGCCCTTTGCCTTGAGGAAACATGCTCATTCCGGTACTTGATGACGACCGAAACATCATCAATGAGACGAATTCCTTGCACGACCGCCCTATCCTTACGAAGAGAGTTCAAGAATTTGAATTCAGAGTACACACATAGCAGACAGGCAATCACAGGGCTAGAAGGTTTCCCCATGGGAATACCGACCACCTGTTGCAGGATATGTGTATTGGCCAAAATAAAAGTGTGCCTCAAGTCAAACCTCACAAACTTGCGAATAGTTGAAAATTCACATAAGTCCCAACCTTCCTGCACCTTTCCTCTCAGCATTTTCGCGTCCTTCCCTCGTTTCTGAAGCAGGACCCCTTTAACTTCCTTACCTCTCCAAAAGTCAATCACCCAATCCAGGGCATCAAGGATAGAGGCATGTGGGAGGTTGCAAAACATTTCCTTGATGTCAAAAGCCGCGGTAAGTAAAGATTCACCCTCCCTCAGATTCTGGTTTACCTCCTTCAAAGATTCAACAAGCAAATCCGAACTTTTCAAATTGAAGTGCGAACCTTTGGGTAGACACCAAATATTAACATTCATCGATCGCGAAATCTTACGGCAACCTCTGACACTACATTCACCAAATGATGGGCAAATCGGGCACCACCTACCCACATCCTTGTGCTTAGGAATTACGTATGCCCTGCCAATCTCACCCTTATCATCCCACCTTGCCAATTTCCCAAGCCCGAGACTCGTGTAAGAAGTTTTGGCAGTTTCCAGAACCGTGCTCTCATCAAGGTCAACGGCCCTAAATCCGGGGTTCTGTTGAAACAAGGTATTCATACCATCTTGATACAGCGAAGGACAACAAACAAAGGTATCCCCGAGATTGTGATCAATCGACACTCGTACCAACCCATCCATCTTCTTAGCCCAAGAAACGGCGTTAACCTCAGTACATTCAGAGGGGGGAACATTAGACCGAATGCCACAGTCAATAACAACCCTCCGACCGACTCTTGGAACATCCACACCAAGCCCAGAAAAGGACAACTGAATCTGTTGCCGCACTCTCTCAACGACATCACAATGATTAGGATAGACCACATTTTTATTGTTTCGGAGCCAATCCGGAGCAAGTTCCCAATCATTCAAATGGAACCCCACATGTCCCTTAGTCCGAGGGAATTTGTCTATAAGGATAAACACTCACATGAGCATGACACTGTACGTGAATACTGGCGGAAGTTAAAGATCAAGTCCCCCACACATTTATTCTTAAGCCAAACAACACGCATGCGTCGAACAATCATTTGCTTCCACCGTTCGTCAATGTCAGCCATACGAACCAGTTGGGAGAATCCCTGGTTTGCTAAGCCCAGCATCGTAAGTAATTCTCACGACCAAATGACGTCGAATACTAATATCAAAACGCCTTTTAATCACTCCAGATAGAATAGTTCACAACGTATATCTTGAGTGTTTGTCAGAGACACCGAATCGCCAAGTATGCCTGAACTAAGATTGCAAAGTCCCAGCAACTCAGTTCCTTTCGAGTACTAGGATTAGAGAGAAACCCGACCAAGGTTGGCTTAAGAACAGCAAAACGGGACATAAATGGAACAACTGTTGCAATAAATAAGAACTTTCCGGGAATATGTACCTTGCTTTTCGTAGTAGCTCATAATCCCCAGATAGGTAGACTAATGAAGAACCAAAACGGCGCTTCACCAATTTCCAATTCTCAGCAAAACACTCCCCCCCAGAGCAAGCTATACCGACAGAGGAAACATTCCTCTCCACACACCAGTTGAGAATCGTAAGGAGGCTAGAAGAAACACCAACAAAAGAGTGAAAGACAAGGTGGGTACAGGGAGGAGAGGTCAACCTCTCGTTTCCATTACTACATTTCCTCCTCAATCGCTCTTTATTACCAAGCCTCCGACGCTTCTTTCGTTTTTTAAGATCACGACAGATGAGGACAGGAGCGACCGATAGCGTACTTCTTCAGGTCCAAAACTTCACTGCTACCACAAGCGAACAATGGAATTGCCACATACTGTCGAACCTGACATCTCCTTAACCAAGAGTAGAGACCAGGATTACGTTTTCCCTCTTCAATTACCTTGGAATTAGTGGCACGGTACACATGTTCCTTCCATCTGATGGGCAATGCTCGCGTAGTGGAGCCAATATACGTATGCCAAGACCAGGGGGAGATCAAAACATACACAAGGGGACCAGGTAAATTCTCAAAATCAAACCCATCGATGAGCGACCGCAACAAATACTCTTTGAACTTCCCCGCCCAAGGGATCTGGTCTCTAATTACAAGGCCAATTACCACCAATCGGAAGAAAGCATTAAATACAACATCACGAATAAAGAAAGCGGACGAGACATTCGAAGCAGAGCAAGGTGAAGAGGAGAAAGCAAGTTGAGATGTATCCACGTAAGAGCATCTCTTTCTACGACATTCATTAGCCCAAAACCAAAGCAAAGACGCGTTCGGGAAGGGATCCTACAACTCGGCCGACCTTCCCTCATCATCCTCGGTATTGTCGGAGTGCTTAGAGGTATCATCACTTACCTCCAGCGCATCATCAGTACGCTTCGAAGAGGGACCCGGGATTTCACCGAAAGCCTTCCTGGCACGGGCTTCGGCGAGATCACGGATTGTCTTCAAATTTGCCCAACTTCACCCCTGCCTCCTTACAGAGCGGCTCCAAGCCGTCCTTCCGCAACATGCGAAGCTGCCGTTTCTGCTCTTCCACGAACTCGGCACGATCGTTGGTCGTGGTCACACCTTGGCCATTAACCGGTTCGCTGCCCGATGGAGCCGAAGCTGGAACGGATTTTGCCGCCGTTCTTTCGAGGGTCGCCTTAACACCTTTCATGACAGAACGAATTGCAGCTTCCTCCAGACGATCTTTGAGATTAGTACCACCAGCCGTCTTCCCTTTGTCCTCCTCTCTGCTCGCCATCAGTCGCCCCATCTTCTCTTCCAAGGCTTTAACCTGTCTCTCAACTTCAGCCCTCCGAGCCTCCGCTTCGGCTCGCTTTTCCTTAAGAGCCTTTGCCTCAATGTTAGCCAAGCGATGAAGGCTCTGCCAATTCCTATACTCCACTTTCCACTTGTCCTCTTCTCGCACGTTATCAGTCCAGCGAGGTTTAGGGGAACCCCTATTAGAACACTCCGGCGTCTGCAGAACCACACTCCCCCGTTTATTACCAGGCCACAATGCCTGCTCCTTCCATTTATCGGCTTCCGCGACAACCCGCTCATTCTGCTCACGAAGCGAGTTGACCTCATTTCGTAGGCCGGCTATTTCACGCTCAAAGTTAGTCTTCATGAAGGCCGACTGCTTGAGCTCCCCGATCTCAGCCTTAAGAGCAACGATAGCATCATCATTAACATACTTTTCCCCGACTTGCTTGCGCAGCTCCATAACTTCATTCTGCAAATAACGAACACGATCCTCTCCAACGGGACACAAAGCTTCACTTAATTTCCGCTTCAAGTCCTCGTTCTCCTGCCTCAGTCTAACCGCTTCCTCGCTACTAGACTCCCCTCCGGTGGACTTACCCTTGCCAATCCCTAAAGCGTCCAGCCTTCTTTCCAACCGTTCGCCCATCGCTTCCTCAAACTTCTCTCGTTCCTTCTTCCAAGATGAGAGCCTCTCCTCTTCCTCTTGCTTCGCCCTCTCTTTTGCTTCATCCTCCTTTATCTTCGCCTCCCGTTGCTTGCCCTCGACATACTTATTATAAACCGTATCTAGTCGTTCTTGATTTTGGGTCCACTATTGGGCCTGGCTTGGCTCTGACCACCATCAGACGTGCTGTTAGTACGATAATTGGAAGTGGATGGACCCAAAGAGGTGGTATTAGCAGAGGAGGACGAGAAAGATGATGCGCAAGGAGTGGGTAAGGCAAGAATCGGCGGGCCAGTAGGAATAGCATTAGCGCCGGTGGCAGGCGGACGAAAACCAACACCGCGATGGGGACATTCACGGATCCAATGACTCATGGAACCGCATTGAAAACAGCCATCTCTCCCCGGGATCGCCGCCATCCGAAATGATCAAAACCACAAATCAGAGAATCAAAAAAGGAAAACCTTACGACAAAGCATAGAAAACACAATCGTAAATAGGTAGCAGACAACGAGTCACTCACACGTAGTTCAATTGCTACGGTGGTTCCAAATTGTTATGATGAAGTTCAGTATACTCGCTCAATCATCAGAAGCTACGAATTCACAAGACATGCAGAATTCGGCACCAAGGCCTAGAGAGCATAACAGATTGAACCTCAGACACGAGAGATATCCATTGAGCAAAAAGAGAAAGCAAGAAGAAAGCAACCAAAGAAAGAAGAGAAAGGAGAGCAAAAGACATATCGATATCTCCCGAACGCGACAAGGGCTCGTATTAAAAACATATCCAAACCAGCCCAAATAGTTGAACCCGAATGTGGACGTCGTGTCCGTCTCGTGTGAACCAAGGTCAAC